GTGTGTGTGTGTGTGTGTGTGTGTGTGTGTGTGTGAGTTGGGTTGGGGGGGCTATAATGGGATGGATGTGGCCAGTGGGCTGCCAGTTGCCCATCCCTGATCCAAGTAGAACATGACAAAGAACAGTGTCCTTTGGACAGATGAGACCAAAGTACAGATGTGTACCCATAATCCAGAGGAACATGTTTAACAAAAACAAAGCGGCAATCAGCACTGACAGRCAACTGTCAGTTATTTAGGCTTGTTTTTCAGCCTCGAGGCCTCGGCCATGAACTCCTCTATTTACCTAAGTACTCTAGAGTCAAATGTGAGTTTTTCTGACTGAAGCTTGGACCAAACTCATGCTAACAGGTACAGTGATCCTAAACTCAGCAAAAAGGCTTAAAAATAAAAATATTAAGGTGTTGCAATGATCCAGTCCAAGTCCAGACCTCATCCTGACTGAAGCAGAAAAAAACATCTGCAAACCTGAATGAACTGAAGCAAGTGTCTAAAAGAATGGGACAGAATTCCTCCATAATGATAATAATGAGAGAAAGTCAGAAAACACAGATGTGGTGGAATYATCCAACTCATTTCAGAAAGACACGGAGGCAGGAACCCCAATGTTGCATRAGGGTGGTCTTTCTTTTCACCATAAAAAAAGAAACGTCACGAAGATTTGGACACATTTTATGACTTTTTAAATAAAACATCATAAGTTTTGTTGTGCAGCTTGCATGCATTGTTGTTTCACACTTTTACAGTGCTCTTGATCTGCAGCTCTTTTAGCATCTGGTTAGAATAAAAACTTTTTTCTCCTCCCCTCTCCYCCTCAGTGCAGCAGAGATTTTTTGTGTTTGGAGAACACTTTGCTCCCCTCTCTCACTGCTCCTTCCACCACTTTTGCGGCAGACTTGATGCAGAGAGGCGACGCCGCCAGAGCCGCCGCCTTCTCGACCACCTTCACCTTCTTCASGGGTTTTCCTTTGTCCGTGCTGATTATCCCCGCCCCCTCTGCCGCCCCCCTCCCTATCGCCGTCACCAGCTCGCACCAGAACAGCCTCTCTTCTCTCCTCCGGGCCTCCTCTTCCTCCCTCCTCCTCCTCTCTGACTCTACCCCGTGCCCGTCCTTATCTTTGGTTTCCTTAGGATGAGACTCCACTCGGTGACTCCTAATGTCCAGAATCCTCTCYTGTGCCTCCGTCAGGACATTCTCAGCCTCGTTGTACATCTCGTTGCTATAGCAACGGCCTCCGTTGATGGCCACCAGCCGGTCAGCCTTGTTCAGAAGTTGGGTGACTTGTTGGGAGCAGTTTGCCATCTCATCCTGGCTGCTGTTGTCGAAGATGTGGTACCCTCCCTGGCAGCTGCTGACGAACTCCGACAGCTCGGGACTCTCTTGCAGGAAGTCCTCGACCCCCTTGCCTCGCAGCTGGTCCCCCCAGGTGAACAGCACCATGGTGAACCTGGACACTTCAGGCCCAAACCTCACCCTGATCCACTCCAGGGTCTCCCTCTCCTCCTGGGTGAGCCTACCGAGCGGCAGGGTCACCAAGAAGACATGGGGGCCCGGAGAATACAGGGTCACACACTGACCCACCTCCGCCAGGACCTCCTGAGGGGACAGGTGTGTGTGGAAGAACCCCGGGGTGTCTATCACAGACACGCTGCGCCCGCCGGCTGACCCAGTCTGCCTCCTGCACCTTGTGGTGATGGAGCTGGGGGACAGCTCCACCCAGAAGGCTGGCCTTCCCAGGAGGGTGTTCCCCGAGGAGCTTCTTCCTGTCCCGGTSCGGCCCAACAGAACTAACCTCAGAGGTTCAGCCTCTGCTGAGGGGGAGGATGTCTCACAGCCTGCACAAAACATGCACTGTTTTTTTAATTCACATCACATCATGAGAAATAACAGTTGATTGAAACAAAGATTTGCATAAACAAATAAAGAAACATTGGAACAATATTCTTTTTGTGTGTTTTTCTTTTTATTAATATGCAAAAAGATAGTTTTTCCTTTCATTATGTAACTTTGATTTATAAAATGATAACTTGTAGTTAAAAGAAAATGTAAATCAAAAATATAAAGAACGTTATTATTTTGTTTATTAAAGAAAATAAAATGTATCTTTTTGAGGGAGGTCTTTTGAGACCAGGGTCAAAGACAGGTGGAAATGTTTATCCCCCCTCTGTGACCCCTACATAATCAACAAACTGGCTTATATGTATTATTACACAAAGGAAAAACTATATCAAATATATTTCTGATGAATATTTGGTTTTTAAATTTTAAATGGATAAAATGGTTTCTCTGTCAGAATAAAGTTGAAAATAAAAACAACACTGACAGTACCTTCATCCAGTGACGCAGCATTTTCTGAAGACATCTCAGGAAACTGCTTTAAATGCTTTCTAGTGTGGCGATTATTCAGTGACAGAAACTGAAAGGGGAAAAAAAAGTCCCCCACACACTCCTGATATTCTCGCTGTAATTTTATGTTCTGCTGATTACCGTTCCACGTTCCCACAGTGAGCATGCGCAGTCCGGGCGGAGGCGCAGAGCGGCGCTTTAATGACGCACATGATTAACCCCTAAAACAAACTAAACTAGGGAAAGTTTTAACCCTGCAAATAGAAATTATCGTCAACTGCATCTATAGTCTTAGTATGTTTWTTGAAGCAGCTGCATGTGCTGTAAATTACACAACTGAGAAGGATTTTGTCAGGATGCAGTTGTAGTTTGCATTTCTCACCACTGGGGGGCAGTAAAGTCAAACCCTTCCATATACGAATAAGATCACCCCTTTGCGTTTTCYACAAGAAAAACTAAGGACCTTTGCTAAGGACAACCTTTTCTGCTGAAGGATGAAAGAGGTGCAAAGATGCTATAAGTTCTAATAATCTGATGAATGGATGTAAATATTATTTAAAGTTGAGGAGCTTTTGAAAGACCACAGCAAACCAGACAGAAGCGTAAAGGGACAGTTCAAAACTCTTGCTGCGGGGTTCTGTGGAATGTTTATGAGCAGTTAATATCTTACCTGTTGCACGAACTCTCGAACAACCTCAGCTCGCAGAAATGGAATAAAATTCTGTCTATACGATGAGCTAACAACGCAAAGAAGATTTCTGTCATCTTAAAACTATCCCAATCTCCAAAAATTCACAGCAATGAAACATATTTTCTAAATCTGAACTGACATTTGATGTGACACAACTTTAAAAATATGTTCGGATTTGAAACCAAGTAATAGATTGTAAAATACATTWAAAAAATCCCACATTAATGAATTTCTTAAGCATCACTTAAAATCAGCTAAATCTTTGTTTTCCATGTTTCCAAAGCAGCAGAAGAGCTAAAAATGAGAATAACACTTAGCTACTCTTATTTAGGGCTGCTGACACCTCCTTCAGCCAGAAAGCACTTTTAAAAATCTATAAAAGGATTCTGTCTCTCATCACTTCTGTTTGAGCTGAGCACCTGCGGATCAGGAGCCGACCCACCTCACTGTTGTCCTCGGAGCCGTTTGTTGAAATAAACGATGCTGGTTTCCTTGGCGAGCGCTGACTATTCACCATGGAAACACTGTCCCAACATTTGAAGGCTACACATGAACAACCACACCAGTAATTTGTAAATCGTCATCAATGCGTCTACGAATGATCAGAACATGGATCCATAATTTAAGCTGCAGGTTGTGGTCATTTGAGTTGAAAATCCAAGAGCTGAAAGGAAGTGGATGATACGAATTTCCCTAAGGAATGATGAAGTTAGGATGCATGTCAATGATGCTTCGACTTGTCAGAAAATMAAGATGTATCTGCTGGATTTATGCTATATTATAAATCATTTTATTCTTAAATGACCAGAATGATTGCCTGAATGCCTTTTTAAAAGTTGTCACTACAGTATTCACAATTTATTTCCATTTAGCATTCCTTTAATGTTACAACATCAGATGTCTTTTTGTTTCCTGCAGCTCACCTTGAYGATTTTCACTGATCCTAACATGCCAGAGAAGAGAGACGCAGGATTAAAAGCTGTGGCAAGGAATTTATTCTGATAACCTGCTGAGCTCCTCATTTTATCTCTAGACATTTCTAATACAGGATTTTCACTTACTAGCTTTATCAGATTCAACTGAAATAGAACCAAAATAATTGGACTCATATTTTTCAAAAGCAGCTCGTACCTGCCAGCAAAATTACAGAATGATATATTTCAATGTATCACATAAATAAGATCATTTTTAACAAACTGCAAAGTAAATATTTTAGTTTGACTGACTTGTCTGGTGATATTTACAAAGCTTTACAAAGCTTTCAATTGTTGGCTTTGTTGTCCACGGAGCACCTCCAGAACATCATTATATATTGTCTTCAGCACCTGAGCTCCTCACCTGTTTTTTTTTTTTTTTTTTTGCTACAGTAATCAAGTCCCCTTTTGCTTGTTGTAGGTCAGGTCAGTGTATTTTTGTTTGAGTTGTTACTTTGAGGTACTGTTATGTTAAGTCATGAATTTGTCTTGAGTCTAGTTATCTTTATTTGACCTCTTTTAAGGGCCCTGTAAAAGTTGTTTAAAGTATTCTTTTGGGGAATAAAACCCATTTTTGTCACAAATCACAAATGTGTCCTCATCTTAACTGGCTTGGTTTCTCACACTCCCACTTCAGCACGTTTTCAATACAGGGGAGGGGTGCACTGTGGGGTGGGAGCTCATTTGCAGACTGAGCTCCAGGGAGGAGCTTTGTATAAGTGGGCGGTGCTTTGTACCAGTAAGCGTTTAGCCAGCTCCACATGGTTACCACAGGAGATTCAAGGATTTCTCAAACATGCACGAATGAGTCAAAGCAAAACTCTGGGTATGTGTTTGATGAGGGAATGGCATTATAACATGGTATAAAACTTAAAAAAGTCGATTTTGCTCAAAAATCCCCCCTCCCTTAATTTGAGTTTTACAGCTCAGACAAGCAGCAGTGTGGGTGTAGTGAGCAATTAGAAGTCACAACTACTACTTCAGCTTATTATTACCACTAATATTTTACAGCCAACAGAGTTTAGTGAACTGCATGTTCTATAAAAATAAAACGACAGCTCCTGAAATGTGCAAAAGGAGAAATGTTGATTTGCTCCAGTGGGTAAATTAGGCACAACAATCAGATAATAGAGGCGAGTGGGTTCACAGGAGTTATTTTGAACTGAGAGGAAAGAATTCAAGTCAAAAATGTTAAGAATTCTTATKTTTTGTTTGGTATCAGGATGAGCTGCTGGAGGGTTTGTCCCACTCCACCAGGCTTCTCACAGGCAGACAAGTTCCTCGACTCTCAGCCTCCCGTTTCTTCTCATCCTCTCGAGGAAAGTCCCAGCTCAGAGCAGTCATCTCGTCATCTACAGAATGGGCAGAGTCACAAACGGATGCAGCTTCTTCTTCCCTCTGCTCCGTATCCTCACAGTGCGTCTCGAGAGGCAGAGGCAGCGCTTCATCCCCGCTTAWCAAYCTCGAGCTCCTGAAGTYGAACGAGGCGTTTCTCTCCCCGATACCCAGTCCGAAGTTCTCCAGCACGTCCATTACAGAGCGTGAGGTTGGGCCGGTGGCATTCTCCTCTTCAATAAGACTCAACGTGGGCAAGATGTCCACCAGCTCGGCGATCTCCATCGGCTGGATGACCTCTGAGATGCTGGTCTCCCTGCYGTRGGATTCCTGTGTTCCCAACACTARATACCCAGCTTCAAACTGGGCCACGGCAGCGGGTTCTAGTCCTGATTCAAGCAGAGAGCTRGCACAGTCCAAATTAACGAGGTCTGCAGGTGGCTGAGCGCTGATGTCAACTGGGTACCCTCCTTTAACTACACCTTCCATTAAGACCAGGTCCTCCTCAGGGACGACTGTGACTCTTTCTGGAGTGGACAGCTCAGCAGTGGGGGTTGAAGTCACACCGGCTGAACTCTCTGAAAGAGAAATACGAGGTCATGAGGACGAACGTCACTAAAACTACAGACAGACCCGAGCTGCTGCACTACCTGTCTCACAWCTCTGCGTTTGCATCCGATTGGCCCATTTCAGCCTGGTGGTCAGTCTTTTTTCTTCTTCTTCTTCACCATCAGGACACGGCGGGGGGTCTCCTCCCATCACCAGGCCTAGAGGCACGGCCCCCACCCACTGTTTGGACCGGACGCACTGCAGGCAGTCCATAATCCAGCGGGCACCCCTCCACACCATATCCAGACACTGATAAACAAGAAAAACAACAAGTGAATTTATTCTCCTTATTAAAACAATCACAGTACATCAGCAAATACTTTTGTGCTGTATGTACAGGTATGCGCCCTACTTCTCTTTAAAACCTGACACGAAAAACAAAAGGGACGATAATGTTTTTGACCCAAAACTTGTCAGTAACTCTGTTAGTTTTAMAGATAATGAGCTATAATTCTGTGTGGTAGCAGCTGGGACTGCTCTGTTTGTAAAACTCTGCCTTTAATTATTGCTGATGATGCTGCCCATCTGTTAGCAAAATATCTCCTGAACCACTGGATGGATTTTATTGAAATTTGCTGAAAGTAAAAATTGGCTGTACAACTACCCCTGGTGGAGTCATCTCAATTCAAGATGGCTGCCACATCTAATCAACCTTAGCAAACACAAAAACGGCTTCAACTTCGAAAATTATCAAAGATTCAGTGATTTAAGTCTTGTTTTTAGGGTCTTAAATGGACGAGCTCCTCCACCTTTAAATGACTTTATTCACAAATATACATTTAGGATGAAATCTAGGTCTCAAACTAGAGGGGACTGTGTTGTCGCAAAACGGAGAACAGAGTTTGGTCAAAAAGGTCACGTCAATCAGAGGAACACTCTTATGAACTACCTGCAAATATCAGAGATGGTGAGTTATTCCATTTTTAAAAAGAAACAAAGTTTGGCTGAAAGAAGATCAGTCATGTTGTAACATAATTTAACTGTAGACCTTGTAGACTGAGGAGTTTGTGTGTTTGTTGGGCAGTGTTGAATTTTGTATTTTATGTGCACTTGTTTTATGATGTTACCTTTTTATCTGCTCAGAACTACGGATGAAAATTAGCTGTTGTGCTAATTCCAGCACATTTATATTCACAGAATATTGATTAACGTGCATTKTCCTTTTTAAATAAATAAATGAATTGAAATGAGCTGAAGTTGGATGTGGTAGTAGCTGATCCTCAGCACATGTTGAGTTCTAACAGAACTACTGACGTCACGCTATATTGCACGAGATCACAGCGTGTAGAAGGTTTTCCAAAATGGTCTCAACTTCTTTTAAATATGATCTTAATATAAAACTTATAATAAAACACAGCCAGTTGGTCTGCTTTCTTTCTTTTCATTGTTTTGGTGTTATTAAGAGCTTACACGAAAAAGCTCAGTGATGTTGCTGAGGCGCTCTTGAGCTTCCTGCAGCTCCTTGGTGTCCAGAGCCTCACGCTGAGCCTGCTGCGCCAGATGAGAGTCCAGCTCCAGCCTTACCCAGGCCTGGCAGTACTGGCACAGGAAGTCCCGCTCGTAGGTCCAGAAGTGGACTTCAGCAGAGCGAAGAGAGAGAGAGAGAAGAAGAGTTACAGTTTTCAGCACGAAGCTTACAGCAGTTGTTCCAGTTTGAAAAAGCTCTTTTTGCTGAGATGTGGTCACATCTCTCCACTCACCCAGTTCAAATGTCTGCAGAGGCATGGTGAGGCCGGGCTCCTTGGTGCCCACCAGAGGCCAGTAACTGGAGCTGAAGTCCTCACTGGGTGGCAGAAGCAGCAGCATGGAAATGTTTTCACCAAACTGCAGCAGCTCCTGCGTGTACACACCATACTGATATGCCTGCCAGGATCACAGAGAGGCAGAAACATCTCATTTTAAACYGAGTTCAAGTCCAGATCATGACCTAAACTTTATAATTTATAACATTTATAATGTGCGACTCAGAAAGAAAATCTGCTCTGGTTTGTCGCCACGTTTACCCTGTAGAGGGGGATGTTGAGCTTCGTCAGGAGGTGTGTGATCGCCGCTCTCAGAGACCTGATGAATTCTGCCAGGCCGCTGCTCTCCACGGAGCTGTCGTCCTCGCCACTCAGCTGGTTCTGAACGCTGCCGTTGTGGGCTGTGTAAACATGACTCTGCAGCCAAGCCCACTCCTCCCTGTCGCCCCGGCGTCGACGCAGTCCCACAAAACAAACGCCAGAGTGAGCTTGAAGTCTTGCTTTTGCTCAGTTTATATAAAGCTGCCAYGTGTGATAAAATCACTAAATCGAACGGGGTTACCTGGTCACGTGGGCGTTGTGTCGGACCCTCGTGTGGCAGAGCAGGTTGGGTAGCCTCTGAGGCACCAGGACCCGGATCTGGTCGACTGAGCTGCACAGTTTCAGGATGCCCACATACAGACCCGGCTGAGACCACTGAATGCTGTGCCTGTGGAAGGACATTTTGTCCTGAAAGCAACAGAAAATATGGAGGGTAATTTAATTTTTAAATAAACTTCTTTATATTACTGCTTTTAACAACAATACATTTTGTTCATGCTGAGTCAGCATTCTGTGTTCTTTTAGACACTCATATCAACAGGTTCAGTTCAATCAGAAGCTGTGTGCTAAAAGTTTTGTTTTTTGTAACTTTACACTTTATTGTATTTCAATTGAAATACAATGTAAATACATTGTATTTCCCTTCAGAAAAACATTCAGATTAGAAAAAAAAAWATTCAAAAACATTTATCTTTTTGTATACTTGTTTTTTATGCTAATTGGTTTTTAATTTCCATTTTGCTTCTTAGTTTTTGGCTAGGCTTTTGCTACTTTTATCTTCTAGTGAGGCTTCTTATAATAGTTAGCCTTTAGCTTGCTACATTTAGCTGTTCTTTTGATATGTTTTGCTTCTGCAAGTGCTCCTTTCAGCAAGCGTTGCTTCATTTAGCTGGCCTTTTGTTACTTTTAGTTTCTAGCTAAACTTTTTGTACTTTTAGGTTTTATTTTGTACTTTTGTACATTTACCTTTTGCTACATTTAGCTATACTTTTGATACTTTTACAAGTGTTTTTGCCCTTTTAGCTAGTGTTGCTTCRTTTAGGTAGCTTTTAACACAATTTACTTCTAAGCCTGTAGTTAGCCCTTTGCTACATTTAGTTGTCTTTTTGATAACTTTTGCTTTGGCAGATGTTTTGCTCACTTTAGCAATATTTGCTTCATTTAACTAGCCTTTTGCTACATTTAGCTTCTAGCTTTAAGTTAACCCTCTGCTACATTTAGCTGTCCTTTTGATATGAAGTGATTTTCAACTTTTAGCAAACATTATTTTGTTTACATCCTGTTGCATCTCAGCAATCCAGGTAAAAAAAATCAAAAAAGAAAAAAATAGCCTGGGCTTTTCTGAAAGCAGACAAGAAACCCAAACAGGATTCCAGCCAACAACCAGGTGAAAATGAAGACCCTAAACCCAGACCCAAACCAGTCATCGTTCCATATGTGGCAGGAGTTTCACAGAAACTGAGACGTTTATTCTCTAAACATGATGACCCAGTGGCTTTCAAACCCCAAAACACTTTACGACAAAGATTAGTTCACCCCAAAGATCCAGTTCCCTGGCAAAAACAGTTATATAGTATATGTTGCTGTGTCAGGATGACTTTGATCAGTTATACATCGGAGAAACAAAACAGCCACTGTTCAAAGGAATGAGCCAGCACAGACGAGCTACTTCGTCAGGTCAGGACTCTGCCGTTTACACTCATCTACAGGTCAGGACTCTGCCGTTTACACTCATCTACAGACCAGTGGTCACTCTTTCAGGGATGAAGATGTTCTCATTCTTGATAGAGAGGAACGTTGGTTTGAGAGAGAAGTAAAGGAAGCCATCTTTGTGAAGAAAAACCGTTCACCATTAAACAGAGGTGGAGGCCTTCGTGTCCAGTTATCCTCCTCCTACAATGCTGTTATTGCAAGTATGACTCGGCTGCATGTCAGCAAAAGGTGTGAATCAGAGCGCCAATGATACCCAACAYAGATAGGGAAAGAGAGAGAAAAACAAGGGGACGTTGAAYCCTGCTTGCACTCACTACAAACRCATAAAAAACACCAAATAACCACAGCCGAAGCATCCAGAACCAATAACTCAGGTGATGGGGCACATGACCCTCTATGAACAATAGAGCTAATCAAGCCTATTATTAGGTGATGGCCCTCTTTTGCATGTGACTAACCTGTTTGTCCATGTGGAGGCAGTGCTTATAAGGCTGAGTTCACCTGAAACTCATCAGACTGAAGACGTTTCTTGGAGGAGAGACGAAACGTTTCACTAAAGAAGAACCCATCCAGAGGACCTACTTATTTTTTTCTTTTTTGATTGTTTTGTTTATGTTTTGCTCTTTTTAGCTTTTATCAAGCGTTTGTCTCTTTTTACCAAGTATTTTTCTTATTTTAGCTAGTCTTTTGCTTCATTTGTTTAGCTTTAATGGCCCAGTTTCAGCTTCTTCAGTGAATTTCAAAGCCATTTAGGTCTCACACTACATTTTCATAGAAAATCAAAATTTTCTCTTTTTATTTGGGTACACAAAAATAACTCAAAATAATGTTTAAGATTCAGTACATTTTGTTTGTTGTGTGCAGCTGCAGCCTGGCACGTCTCCATTGTAACTCTCAATTTATCCCTCTTTCAGCCAAACCCAAACTGACCTTCAGCTGCTCGTACAGTGTGTCCATGGCAGTGGGCTCAGGCAGCAGAGGAGTTCTGCTGCGGTTCTTTTCCAGGCAGTCCAGAGGCATCCAGTGGAATGGGGGCTCAGGAGGGCTGGAGGAGACAAATCAAGCAGAAAATGAATGTAAATGAATAAAAACATCACTCACTGAAACTCTAACATTCAACAACCTTCTTCAATAAAGCCAAACTCTAACATGGGAATTACTGTAGCCATGAAAGTAGTTTCTTTCAAGGAATGCTTTTTGTCCACTAAAATGTTTWTTTATTGCATGCAAAAGTTTTAAGCATAGATTTCTATGGATCTGTATGTGCTGAGGACAACTCTCAGCTACTACCAAAACAAATTTTAGTCAAATTCTTACAGTGGTTTTTGAGTCTTTTCAATCAGGTTAACTCCTAAAAGTTTTATTAAAATTCTGTCAAGTGGGTTACAAGGTATTTTGTTAACAAACAGACACAAACAGACACAAACAGACAGACAGACAGACAGACAGACAGACAGACAGACAGACAGACAGACAGACAGACAGA